CCCCAAAACCCCAAAACCCCAAAACCCCAAAACCCCAAAACCCCAAAACCCCAAAACCCCTTGTTAATTAAAAATAATTGAAAATATTCTAGATTCGAAAAGTCTGAAACATATTTTATGTTGTATTTTTAAAGAGGTTTGTTAATATTATCATATACTAAAGGCCACAATGGGAATTAGGACTGTCGTTGAGAGTGCTTTAATGAGAAAGAATGGATATCCAGCTTCTTCTTCAGAAACCTTTAACTTTTTCCTAATCTACCCAGTGTGAATAGAGCAACTTAAGAGTACTCCCTGTTTCTTCTCAATTTCTTCAACTTTGAGGGCAAATATTCCTTCTTCAGATGTAGGTACTCACAAGAAGTTATGTTGTGGTGGCCTAAAGTAATGAGAACAGTTCAAAAATTATTTTGAAGAGATTAACTGTACTTACTGATATTTTTAAACCTGAAATTTCTCAGCTTCACTTCTCATAATTTACTTGGAGCAACCTCCTGGTAGTCTACAGTATTGGTGGCTGCTTCTGAGTATGTGTCAAGTTGGCTCTTAGGCGTATTTTTGGACTTCTTGCTGAAATAAACAGCTGTTACAGGGACAGAGTCAAAACCAATGCTACTTCTCTCTTGTTCATAATGAATAGAAGGAAGCTTATCACTCGAATCTCAGAGATAAGAGTCATCTGACTTCATCACAGTTGCTTCTGTTTCTGGCTCTACCGAAGCAACAGAGTCTTGTACTTGACTCATTGAGTAGATCCTGGCTCTTTTGATCTTGTTCTAAGAGGTTACTACCCAAAGCATACCTTCAAAGCAGTGTTTTTGATCCTCACGAGATTATCCTTCTTAATATTCCCTTTATTACACTGAATAGTTGCTAAAATGGTTGATGAATCTTTCTTACCCAGAAATTGTTGATGGTACTTAAACTTAGTGCGGGCTAAAGTCATGTCTCTACTCGTTGGAATATGGCCATGTGGGATGATATTCGCTACAGAGTTAGAAAGAACCAGCCTACGATCAACTGACAGCATTGGGGATGTAGATTCGTACTCTCCCATACTCAGATCATTACTATTGACCCTTTCTCTCTTACTTATACTTTTTAAAGAGTTCTGGTATTTATCTAGACTATTATAAACCTCAATTACTTCTTCCAAGATTAGTAGCCTCATAGGACTTATTCAGAGAGCCGAAGAGGGAAGATTTATGACTAATCTGGTTCCTTTTGTACTGACTTTTATAACTTTTTGGTGAATACTTTGGCAAACTAGATCATTGTTACTCTCCAAAGTTAAAATATTACACTAAAGTATTCCAAAACGGGCAGTTTGAGTTAGTAAAGTCTGACAGGACTCTAGCATAGCTCTGGAAGTAACCTTGATAAAGAATTCCCTTCGATAGGACTGAAAACAAAATCTCACCTTATTGTTGATGATTTCATATTAAAATTAATAAATTTCCGAAAGTTTCTTTTTAGTAGTTTCTAGGGGTTTTGGGGTTTTGGGGTTTTGGGG